TCATTCAAGATAAAATTTTAAGAGCCTTTTGAATTCCAAGAGAGAGATGTAAATAGAGAAATCAACGTTAAAAAATTATTAAAATTTGAGATTTTATATTATTAAATTGATCTTATTTATCCTTAACTTTTTTTATGATGTCCAACACTTCTATGTTCATTTTGGAATATTTGATTTTTTTTCTTTAATCATAATCTAATTTAGTTATCTAAGGCCACGATATAGCTTAATTAATTTAATATAAAATTTCATGATTTTTACACTCTCAAGACTTATTATTTTGATGATTAATTTAATATAGATTTTCATGATTTTTATACTCTCAAGTTTATGTTATTGGTTTTAATGTTTTTTAAGGATTGGCTACTATTAAATTTGATTTGAAGTGCATAATTAAGATTAAGAGGAAATTTTATGTAAAAATGTTTAATAATATATATCATGAATTGAATAAAAATCAGAGATGGATTACTTTGATTCATGTAACATTAGTTGTAAGTGAACTTGAAAGTTTTTATGTAAGTTAGAGAGTTTTGCATAGCATAATGCATTTTTCTCTCTTTTTTTTTTTTTTTTTTAATGAAGTGCATTTTAGTTTATTTAGATTCATTTAGAGATATAATAAGTTCATATATGAGAATATGTTCAATATAACTTGAGAATATATATCAAATAGATCATGATATATTGTTGTTACTTGAATAGTAAATATCTTTAAAATTTATTAATTTAGTTAACTACATTGAAGTTGGATATTTTAAAATCTCAAATTTTGATTATTTAAGTTAATTCACTATTTTAATTGGTTAACTCAAATATTTTAATTTTAATTATTTAAATAAAATTAGAATTAATTAATTTTTGTATTTAATTAATTTACAATCTTTATAAAACGATATTTAGTTCTACCTTTATATTACGTAGAGCGATTAGCTAGTATTCTTATTAGATAAAATTAGCTCAACACACACATAATTTACCTTAATAAATTGTAAATGAAAAAGAATATAAACTGAAGACATTATACCGGCATTGATGAGTGCTTGGAGGATGCTGGCTTTCTCTTTGAGCTTGAGAGCTGCTTCAAAGTACTCGCGTTGGTCGAGTTCAGATTCTGAGCACGTCCCGTGTTTTTCCCATTCGTGTGTCCAGAATGAAATGCCATCATTACTTGGGCAGGACAGGGTTGGCCAACTCTTTTGCAGACTGCTCAGCAACTCCGAGATCTGTAAGCAAAAATTGTGAGGGCGAAGGGAACATCGGTATTACTTTTTATATATTAAGTAGTTTTAATTGTACATCACAATATTAATCATTAAATAATTAAGAGGTCCAAACATACTAATATCTTACATTAATAAATTGCTTTTTACAATTCATATTTTATAATTTGAAATATAAAATACTAATATCTTACATTAATATTCATAAAGACTGATAAACTCTCATGTTAGGGCATTGTCATACAATCTCTGACATTGAATAGGTCACGTGGACAAATTAATTGTTATATTTACTATTAATGCCAATTCTAATTCCAAAATAGAAAAAAGATTGGAGTTTTCCCCTTTTGCTATAGGCACATGGTGTGGCACTAACCAAGCTAGCTATGATGTTGACTTCCATCAATCGAACTATTTCACATGATTTTTGAAGTTACTGTATCATTTTTAGTGAAAATAAACTTTATAAACTAAACCGATGAAATTTTTTTTTGAACGGTAATTTATTAAATGGGGTATAAGAGATACTGAAATGAAAAATTTATAATCAATCAATAATATGTATAAGTTTTTCTATTTCTAAACAGAAATAAAAAGAAGCTAGCAAACCTTCAAACTGAAATACAGTATATATAAATGAGTTAAATAAATTTTTACATAATTTTTACATATATAATTTATATAAAATCTTAATCATTCATCTTTTTATTATGAATAATTAAGATTTATCATATTTTTTTTTATAAAAAAGACAATTGTTGTGATGTATGTAAGAATTGTATATAAATAAATCTTATATTATGTAGAAGTTTTGATTTTTATTAAAAGTATAAAGTTTCAGCTTTAAAAATATCAACTTCCAATTGATATTTTCGAAAATCAAAAGTTGAATTTGACATTTTATTTATATAAATTATATATGATAATTTTTAAATTGATTTGACACTGTAATCATTTGATCAAAAACTTTATATATTTTTAATATATTTAATATTATTAAATTGTATATAATTAATGAATTAATTAAATATATTCAATTAATCTGATAAAACTTTTATATATGTCAATTTTAATATTAACATTTATAATCTTTTGGTAAAAACTTTATTTATTAATATATATTTAATAATGTTAAATTTTTTGTAATCAATAACATAGTTAGGCTCAC